GCCTGTCCGCCAGGGCGTAGGGCAGCCCCCGCGCGGGCGCGCGCGAGCAGCGCAGCCTCTCCACCTCCTCCGCCCACAGCTCCTCCTCGGCCTCCGGCTCCCCGGGGCCCGACGCCCCCGGCTGCCGCAGCATCTCTGGGCGCTGCCAGGAAGTGCGCGGGGGCCCTGTCGGGGAGCCTCAAGGTCTGGGCCTGGGTGCCCGGAATTGAGAAAGCCTTGTGCGGAGGGCGCTGCTCGCCCATGCCCCTCCCTGCCGGGCAGGCTGGAGGGCGACAGCCCCCTCTGCTGTTCCATCGGGAAGGTGTCCCCACCCCCCACCCCAGGGTCCTAGGACCCCCATCCTGCAGCCCCCGAGGTGTGGGCGGGCGGGTGCCCCTGTCTGACCTCATGTCCAGCCTCCAGGACTGGGCCAGCGCCCAGATGGGCCCAGGTGAGGGGCGGCCGCCCCCGGGCACCCCTCCAAGGGCTCTCCTGGCCCCACCCCTGCACCCGCTCACCTGGGCACTGAGTCCTGAGGAGCCCCGTCGTCCTCTGCCGCCGAGAGGGAGCCCAGGAGAGTGGTCACGTGACAGGAACCCCGGCCCAGGCCTCCTCCCCCACGGCCAGTTTCCTCCGCTGTCACCCAGCTGCACTTCCTGCGCGCTCGCGGGGTGCGGACCGGCGGGCAGGTGAGCAGCGGCGGCCCGGCCGGGAGCCCCGTGCGCGGGGCTGGTCTGCAGTGCCGTCCACGTGGGGTGCGGCGGCTGTGTCGGGGTTGGGGTGCGCTCCTGCGAGGGGGTGCGCTCTGGTGTCCCCGCCGGGGCCAGGGGCTGCCCCCTGCTCCTCAGGGCCAGCAGTGGGGGGCACGCCCGCGCCCCTCCTGCCTGGGACCCAGTGTGACAGGCCTGGCAGGACGCGGGCAGCGTGGACCAGGGCCCTTATCTGCCTGTTGCAGAGCCTGGGCTGGGCCCGAGGGCCTGATAGCGGCCCGGTGGCCCTGTCATCCTGGGGCGCTGCCGAGTTTAGTGGGGCGATTTCTCAACTTCCCGCCTCTGTCGCTGGGGCTGATGCCGGGGCCAGGCCCAGCTCCCGGCCAGTGGCCAGGCCCAGCTTGGCCTCTCGCCCCCAGGCTGGCGTGGGGGCTCTTGGCCGTTTCCTCTCCCGGGGCCGTCGGCCCTTCTCACTGGCCTGGCTCCCTCAGCGACCTTCGGGGTCCTTCCTCTCAGCCCAGCCTGCCTGCTCCCCCCCTCGCCTTTGAAGCCTCCCCCAAGGCACCCCAGGCTGTGCTGGGCACCCTCCCCAGGCCTGGGGAGTGCAGACATCCGGCAAGTCTATCTGACCCAAGAGGCAAGGTCAGTGTAGGAAGGGGCACCACGGACTTCGGTCCGGGGGACCCCTCCTGTAGGAAGGGGCACCACGGGGTTCGGTCTGGGGGGACCCCTCCTGTAGGAAGGGGCACCACGGGCTTCGGTCCGGGGGACCCCTCCTGTAGGAAGGGGCACCACGGGGTTCGGTCCGGGAGGCCCCGGAGGAGGAGAGCTTCAAGCTGGGCCTGAGCTCCCAGAAGTGTCATGGGGCTGGATGCAGGGGAGCGGCCCGGCCCGGCAGCCTGAGGGACCCACCTGAGGGCCACGTGGCAAGACCCCCCAAGCTCAGGGGCCCCTTTCCCGGACACTTGCATTTGTTTCTTCATTTGGTTTCCCGGTGCCCCCCCCACGCGCCCCCTCCCCCCCTGTGGCCAGACTCCAGGGGGCCGGTGAGCCCTGGCCAGTGGGCTGCTGGGGGCCTCTCGGGGGTCTCCTGCCTGTGACCCCAGGGGCTGCCTGCCCACCAGCAGCCTTTCGGCCCCTCCTCTCCATGGCTCACAGGGCCCAGGGCTCCTGCTTGATAAACAGCAGATGCTGCACCAGCCCCACACCCTGGGTGGCAGCCCTCCCTCCCCCGGTGGGGCGGGGCCCCCAGCCGGCGCCCGGCTGGGGCGTGGGCCTGTCTGCAAGCGTAGCCCCCCCATTGAAAACTGAGGAAACTGAGTCCCCCAGAAGTCAGGCTCTTCTCCAGAGGCCTGGGGGCGGGGTGCAGGAGGGCTTGCAGGCCTGTGGGAGCGGGTGGGGCCGGGCTGGGCGGGGCAGCTCTTTGCCCCAAGGACTGGCTGCCCCGCAGGGGCCCCAGAGGCAGTTCCGGAGGCCCTTCGGGGGACAGGTGAGCCACTGGCACGCTCCAGGGTCCCCAGGTGCCGCCGGGGCAGTGGCCAGGGTCTGGTCTCTCTCTGGGCAGGGCCTCGGCTTCTCCCCTCCTCCTCCCCCTGCCCCCTCCCCGGCAGCCACCCCTCTGAATTCCTTTCGGCCTTGGGGCCAGGATCCCTACTTTTGGCATGGGGGGGGCGCAGGCAGGGCATTGCAGTGCCCTGACCACCGCAGTCCTCTGGCCCCCAGGGCCAGGGCAGCCAAGCGTCCAGGGCTGGATAGGAAGGGAGGGCAGGCCGGTACCACTGGCTGCAGGGGGCAGGAAGCCGGTGCGGGCAGCGGAGGACCCTCAGCCTGGCCCGCAGCCGCTGCCCCGAGGCTGGGCCGCGGTCCCCTGGGGCAGCAGCAGCTCCCCTGGCCCCCAGCCTCCGAGGCCAGCTGGGCGAGGCTCCTGGGTGGGCCCCACCCTGCTCCTCCCACCCGGCTCGGGCTCCCCCCGTGGTCACGCCCCATCTGGGGCGGGTGCCTCAACCCCGGAACCTGCAGGCGGGGGCCTTCAGCTGTGCCCAGGTGAGCCCAGGTGTGCTGGCCAGTGGGCAGCAGGGGGTTCCAGGCCCTTCGCCCTTCGCCGCGCCCCCCCACCCCCCGCCGGGCTGTCCGTGGCCCAGCACAGCTGGCCTAGACCTGGGGCTAGGGGTGGGTCTGGGCTTGGGAGGGTCTGTCTGGTCAGGGGGGTCCAGTCCAGGTGGGGCCTGGCCTGGGGGCAAACCCTTGGCCGCGGCTCCTTTCCCTGCTGGGCTAAGTGTGCGCCCCTGGCTCCAGCGGCTTCCCGGCCGGCCCTGTGGCGGGGTGGGGTGGGGGGTGTCTGGGCTCCGGCCTTGGGGGCCTCCAAGTGAGGGCACCGGCTGGCAGCTGCACCCCTGGAGCCCCTCCCCTGGGAACACCCCGAGTTGAGCCCACATTGAGTGCTGACTTTCCAGGGGACGAGGGGGCAGGCGGGTGGCAGGGCCAGGACGGAGTTTCCGGCTGCCGGGGCTGGCCTGCCGCCCCACCGCTGGCACCAGGGACAGAGCCTCTGACCAGGCTGCCCTGCGGCCCAGCTGCCCGCTGCCGGCAGAGCAGAGCGGGACAAAGGCGGCCTGTTCAGCGGTCCCAGGCCCCAGTGCCGCCCGCCCACCACGGGCGCAGGAATGTGGGGGAGTCGGGCTCCTGCCGCCCTGCCCTCTGGCCGGCTGCTGAGGGCTGCAGGTGGGGGCTCAGGGAGAGGCGGGCCCTGGCCAGGGCGGGGAGGGCCCCGCTGGGCTGGGGGCTGGAATTCCCAGCGGAAGTGCTGTGGCTGGGAGCAGGGCAGGCCTCGGCCTGACCTTTCTCACGGGGAGGGGCCCTGGCCCCGGCTGGCTGCTGGCTGTTCCCGGCCAGCGGAGGCTCCCACAGGCGGCGCCCTCCGGCTTCCCCGGGACAGGGAGGAAGCGCTGGGCCTGCCGGCCGCACCCCCACACCCCTCCTTCCTCTGGCCCGCCGCCCGGCTGGGGGTCCGCTTGGCTCGGGTTTGTGCCTTTCCACTGCAGGCTTGGATCGGGCAGGGTGGGGCCAGAGGCCTGGGCCGAGCGTGGCGCCTCCCAGTCCCCAGGGCCGGCGCGGCCAGGGCCCGGCTGAGGCAGACTGTGGTTCCAGGGCCCTGGCAGATGGGCAGCGGGAGGCCGCGCCCCAGCTGAGCCCGCAGGCCCAGACCCTCCGCGTAGACCCCGCCATGGCCAGGGCCCGGCCGCCGGCCTTTGTCCTGGATATGCCCAAGACCCCAGAGGAGCAGGGGTGAGTGAGCGGGTGGCACGGCAGCTTCGGGAGGCCTGGGAGCTCGGCCGCCGGGTGGCTGCGCCTGAGTCCTGAGGCCCGCGCCCGCCGCCCCAGCTTGCAGGAGCCCAGCCCCCAGGACGAGAGTGAGCTGCACGCCTCCTTCCACCAGCTCATCCGGGAGCAGAGCCAGCGCGTGGCCGAGGAGCGGCTGGAGCTGCACGCCAGGG